GGAACTAAAATGCGAAGTAAGTTCCCATTTCATTTTACACTTATTCACAACATGTCACATTATACATATATTTTACAATAAATTTAAACCTTGTTTACCTTATTCGTTTTACTGCAACATTGTCGTATAATAACGTTCGATCGGTAACGTCGGTAACGAACGCAATGTCGTTCTAATAACAAATGGGAGATTTAATAAGAAAAAGAAAAAAATACTCCAACTGTAAAGAGAAACCAATTTAACTGGCTTTGTGTTTACATTAAAAACTTTTTCCTTATGTATTTTTTTGAATAAATCTCAAGCCAAAGGCGATTTCAATTAAAGAAAGTAGATTAACATTTTTTTTCAAATATTACAATATTAAAAGAATATTTAAAAGAGTACATAAAAATGAAAATATTAATAAACCAAGTGAAATTTGATTTTTCCAAGTATGTACATTGAAATTTGTGTAATTATTTCAGATTTGGCGAAATCCGGTGAAAATCCGCCAGAAGGATTTATGACGCCGAAGGCCTGGCAAATTGTCGCGGATTATTACAAAACCGAATTAAACAACGGATTCTAAATTCCTCTACGCGCAGAATTTTTCATGAAGAGGGTAAAGTGTTTATGAACACAATCGTGTCGTCTGTTTAATGTTAATTTAATCATAATTAAAAGACAATAATCTCATTGGATACAGGTAAAATACATAAAAGTAATTTATTTGTAATTTTCGTTAAAAATGATCGTTAAAAAGATGAGGGGTGGGGGGGGGATGAAAATAAATAACAATAATTTATTCGTTCTCTAATATCGATATACATACATAATGCGTACGTGTAATTCGTTTATATTTATATATATTTCTTTTTTTTTACGTTTATTGCATCGGACACGAGAAATTCGTAATTTGGAGTTTTTCTCAGGGACGTACTCCTCCTTTCCTTGTTTTACATTTTTTTTCGTCTTTTTTTTTCTATTCCCTGTTCTCCTCTGCTCCTTCGAAAGACAGTGGAAAAAGAAGAAGGTACGGTGATTAGGATTTAGTCCGTTTATTATCTAATAGGACGTTGCTTTAGTCTGGTACATCTGGAAAAGAATTGGAAATTGAATTAATAAATTGCATTGTACAACTACTTTTTTCTTTTTTTTAATAAAAAGTGTTCCATGTCAATTTAACCTGAGAATATCTCGTAATAATTCTTTAAAAATCATATAAAAAAAAAATATTGGCCCATGAGGGGATCGAACCCGCGACCTTCGCGTTATTAGCAAAAAAAAACGCTCTAACCAACTGAGCTAATGGGCCAACTTCTTGCCACGTATCTATCACAGCATAAATAGAGCAGTATTGAATTTTTCATTTTTTAATCACTAAACGTTCAGATTATTTTCAAATTTACCATCTAAAAATGCACAAATTTTTTTGGCATACATTCATATTCTGTGGATATTGTAACACGTTTTCTGCATTTTCAGCGGTGTACGAAGTACTTTTACTGAAATAGAGAAATAAAAGAAAGCGAAGTATGGAATATAACACAAATCATTCTGTTTCGAGTGTTAAAATTTATTAAAAAATTTCGTAAAATTTAATAAGAAATAAGAATAAGACAGCCCAAGAACAGTTTGACAGTCCAAAAAATAAGCGATCTTTGACAACTTTTTTTGGCTAAACTAGTACGGATATCGAGATACTTCTTTTTCTGATACAAAGGGACATCCTTGTACTATAATAAAGCAATTTTGTTCAACGTAACTTTTCATACCGTTATTGTAAATTTTATACTTTAAATGTTAAAGTGATTTGAAAGTAACAAAATTTCAAAGAGTATTATTGTTCTTTGATCATTTGTGCTGGGATTGAATCGATTTATAACAAAAAAAAAAAATAGAAAACTTAAAATTGCGATACCGTTTACGACGAGTCAGACCGGGCTCCGTTTTTCCCCCGACGATTAAATCTTTTATGCGTTTACAATTTTCTCGACGTTCGATTTCTTCACGTAACCTCCTCTTCTAAATACTCACCCTCCTCCTCGGAATCGAATAATAGCGTGGCTTGCAACGAACTTTGCTTCGACAGGGTTCTACCGTGACCACGCGGTCTCGCCGGTGGCGATTCTTTGTTCCAAAGTGCCTCGAGTTGATTGAAATGTTGCAACTGAGCGAGCGCAGCCTGTTCCGGCCCTATCGACGGGCTACTCGTTAATCCGACTTTACTGATCTCGTCCATTGATGCGCTCACACTGAATCGTCGTTGTAAACCGTCTTCCACGGACGATGTTAACATTCCTGAACAGAAAAATTGTCCTTGCCTTACGTTTAGATTTACACCTGTAGAATGCACCGACAAAGTTTGATCAGAAAAAAATTCGGACACCTTATACGAACGTGGTAAACGTTGAAAGTTTATAGTGCTCAAACAAACGATGTAAGAATATCAAAATGAACAAGCACACGTTTTGTCGTTTATACTGCAAAATTTTCAATTCGCTTATCGTCGTTTATCGTTTCAACTCTTTAACCCTTTCGCTACGGCAAATTTTAGTACACAAGACGCGAGGCAGATTCAGATATTCCACAACCGCCGCAAAATTTTCTTTTTTGCCCGTCTCATTTTAAAACTTCTTCTATCGAATTAACATGGAAGAGTGCAGAGGATAAAATTAAGGCTTGAATTATGATAAAAATGCGCCAAAAACGTTCAAACAGCACAGTGCTGAAACAAATTTTCAAAGCGCCGATAGCAGTGAAAGGGTTAATTACCTGAAGTAAGATGCCCGTATTTCCTGCGCCACGTGTCACTGTCCAACGACACTTCTTTCTTCAGCAACCTCTTGTGAGGCCTCTTGGGCCCTGGTTCTGTCCACGTGGTGTCGCATAAGGGCGCCACGTAATAGGGCAATTTCACGTACTCCGCCGGAGTATTGTGCAAACAGAGAATCGGCATGCATTTCTGCTCGAGTAGGTGTAACGCGATCCTCGAGAGATCAGTGGCCATCTCCATGCCCAAAATAGGAACGTGCAGCATGATGCTACTGAGGGAACAGCCCTTTTTCGTGTCCCAGACGATCAGACTCTTGTCCTCGCTTCCAGAAGCTGCGAGACTTCCGTCGCCCGACAGTTTCACGCAAGTTATGCAGTCTAAATGGCCTTTCAGAGTGTGGAGATCGTTACCGGTGTTGATGTCCCAGACGATCAGGTTCGCGTCTCTGGAGCCGGAGACCACGATAGACTTGTCCAGGACGGAAACTGCGACGCAGGTAACGTGGTCCGTGTGACCGACGAGGGCCTGGAAAGAAATCGACGAAGGAAGATTTTTACACAGGCTGTCTCTCGCGACAAAGAAAGTCGACCAATCTGAAATTCTGCTTTCTAATGAAAATCTGGAGGAGTAGATTTGCACGTAGAGATAATAACACATTTGCAGTTGTGAAGATCGATGTGTAAATGAATTGAAATTTTCATTTCGGCTGAAGTATGCAAGGAACAATTTCTTTAATAAAACTTGAAGAAAAGTAACGTCAATTTTTCATTTATTCTCTCTGGTAGAATTCTGGATAAGTTGGGAAAATTGTATAACATAGTTTCTTAAGATAATAAATACTTGTTGTGGCATTGTATTTAAGGCAAATAATTAATTTACGATTTGACAATCATTTGAACTATGGCAGACGAAACATCGTAACGTAAAATACTATAAATATTTTTCAGACTATTTTTTACTAGAAATGTTAAAATATATCGTTCTTTTGGTCAAGTATTATCTACTATTTTCAAAGTGAAAATCATCAAATTGAAAGAATTTCAAAATACGAAAAATGATATCTAAAACCTTCGAAAAGGAAAGTCAACACACGTCTTTCTAACAATTCATTCATCGTATACTAAAGATTAATTTTCTAATAAAACAGCTATTCCATCTTAATACTTTATGTTACACTTTAAGTTAATTTCTTCTTAACAATTGCTTATATTTATTCCAAAAAAGCATACCTGTGACAACAGACCACCAGGAAGTCGCCAAACTTTCAAACTGTCCTTCGAACCCGTGATCAATGATCGAGAATCCGGCGTGACGACTAAACAAGTAATTTCTTGAGAATGGTACACTTGATACATCTCCTTACGTCCAACCCCCAGATGTACTATTCTTAATTGATTGTCTCCTGTTCCACATACTGCAAATCTAAAAATTAATCAACAAAAGGGAGAAAACACTTTAGTGAAATTTTTCAAACAATAATTCAAGTACAATACTATTCGAATTGTTCTACGTGGTTTAAGTCGGGAGATTGGCCTGGCCATTCCATTATTTTCCTATTAGAATTTCTTTGCATTTGTTGTAAGTAAAAGAAATATACAGTTCCATGTGAGAAAAATAATCGGTGACCTTGAAATGTCCTCGATATTTTCACATTCAAGAGAGCAAAGTATCGTGCCGAAAAAACGAGCTTTCCAAAATACTTCAACTTTATCTAATAACATTTTTTAATATTATTAAACTTACATCTCTTTTTATATTTAAACACAAAAAATTAAGAGTGGTAGGGGTACATTTTGAAAAAAAAAAATAATGTTTCTCGAAAATTCTTTACCATCGTATGATATCAAAAACCACGCAACTTTGAATTTAACTTTTTCTTCCATATCTTGTACAGTTTCGTAAATATTCGCGATAATATGAAAACTCGTGTGTGTGTTTTTTAAGGGGTATTTTCATCCCTAAGACTGTTTCATTGCCGAAATAAAAAATAGTTTCGTAATTAGCGTTACTTGAACTACATGTCGGCGAAGTTTCAAATTTTTTAAAATTTTTTCGTTAAAGAACTTCGCCTTGCAAGCTTTCCATGATAAAATATACAATGTAAGCAAGCGTTGCGTAATAATTAACGAAGGCGTCAGTTAATTGAAATTAATTTCAGCTAGTAGTGAAATAAAATTCATTAATTAATAATATATGTGTATATATATATATATACCTCATGTCGGCAGAAACTGTGAAACAACGACCAGGCACACATATTGACTGAATCAGAACGCCAGTGTCAGCTGCCCAGATTCTAATCACACCAGACCTGTCAGAACTGACTATCCTTCTACCATCCAACATGGCGGTGACTGCAGTAACCGGTGCCTGGTGTTTAACCGTCGCTACCACTAGACCTAAGGTCAGGCCCCAAACACGAACTGTCTTGTCCTCGGAACCTGTTTTCGATTAAATTCGCTTATTAAAATTGCTGGGTAGAATTTCAACGACGAAGGAAAATTGTGCGAAAAATAGCGAAAGAAGAAAAATTGCCCGATACTTCTTCCATCGAGATCCTCTACAAACCTGTAAAGTTTGAAAGAAATCAGAATTTTCGAGTCAACGAAGTTCCTTTGTCACCCCAGTGTCGAAATTTATAATTTCGATCAATATTTCCAACGAACCTTTTTTGATAAAAAAAAAAAACAAAAATGAAAGCGAATTCTAATTTCACAATTTTTTTTTTATAGAATTTCCTTGGATTTTCAGTAAAATTTCGCTTTAGATACGAACTTATGGAACGACCTGATATATTCGTTACATTTAACAAAATATCATGAATTGCTTCCGTTGCGGCATTTTTTACGCGTAAACACATTCTGATTTTAACGATGCGCCTCTGAGCTAAGAAGAGGATGGTCGGTATTTTTCGCGAGTTTCCAAATGCTAAATTAAAAATAATAATATATTAGAGTGTCGCTCTTCACAGTGTGTTTTGCATTTTGAGCTATTTTCGAGAAACGAGACCACTCACTCAGACGTGTACCGTTCTCGGTTAGAAAAGTTGAGAGAAGCAACAGCAGTGAAACGTCCAGGACTTTCAAATCGGAATAAAGTGAATTTTTATCGTGACAATACCAGGCCATATGTGGTGCAAAACGTGCAAACAAAAATTACACCAATTCGGTTGGGAAATTTTATCACACCCGGTATATTCTCCGGGCACCATCTGTTTCCATGCATTGTAACATTTTTTTAGCAACTTTGGCAATATCGATTCTACGAGAAATAACACCTGAAACATATTTTCACGAAAAACCGAAGAAATTTTATAGTAACCGCATAATGGCTTCGCCAAAAAGATGGGGAACAGTTGTGGAAAGAAGGAATAGGCCAGGAAATGGCCCTAGGTGGGCCAAATTGTAAATTCGAAAGTATTTGGCGGGCCATTAAGACAATTACGGCCATTGGCCGTTAGGACAATAAAATATATACAATCTATATTATAGCAAGATATATTACATATAAAATTTAGTATTTTTTTAACCGATAAATAAAATTTATTTATCTTTTTGTAAAGATGTAAATTATCTCTGTAAATTCAAGATCGCGGCTGATCTGCCATCGCGGGCCGTACTTTGGGAACCCCTGGTTTAAAGGTGCGCGTTTGAAATATTGATCTAAATGGCACATCGATAAACGATACGAACTTGTCGGACGACCTAACAGTATAAAAGTATTTTTCAGCAAAAATTGCTCTTCTAGTTCGAATAATGTCTTTCGTGCACGTAGACACCTACCAGAAGCGACGAATAAACCGGAAGCTGAGAACGCGATACAGGTCACGCTGGCGATGTGTCCCTCAAACGTTGATAGCAACTCGTGCGTGTTCAGTTGCCAGAGATTAACGAGAGAATCGACTCCGCCGGTAACAGCCATTACTCCGTCTCTGGATATATCCAAACAAGAAATAGGAGCAGTGTGCGGGTGCAAGGATTTCTGTCTGCTGGATTTTTGGGGTTTAAAGTGCGGATCTTCGCCACGGAAGCTCCAATAAATCACTTGATTACCGCATCCGGTTATCAGGAAGTCGTCTTTCTCTGTCACCTTTTTTGGAAAAAAAGGAGATTTATTGAAATCTAGAGAAGTCGAATGAAAATGAACGATAAATTCAGGAATGGCGATGGAACACAGTTAATCACTTTTATAATTATAAATTGAGAGTAACAATGGAACTTTTCACTGTGAATACCTTGGTGTTATTTTTCTTTCTTTCTTTTTTTTTTTTTTATTAAAATTGTTATTTTATTACAGCAGTTTGTTGGAAAGAGATGGAAGCATGCTGTATATTTTAAGAATATTACAGCGATATTTATATTTGGCGGGGAAACTTTTTGTTTAAACCTCTGAAGCTCAAGGTAACGATCTATCGTCATCCCTGTTTCTTGCGAACATGATCGCTGTAACGATTTACCGTTATCGCCTTTTATCGCCTGCTGTCGTCAAATTGTAATTGTTTGCTAAGTAAGATAACCGATAGACGACACGTGTTAATACACGGGACGATTTTTACGCTGAACGAACTAGTGTTAATCTTTATATGGAAATTGGGTCAATTTCACCCAAAATCAAGTCACAGATTCTTTTCCTGTTATTAAATGCATCATTTGGGCTGAAACATTTTCGTATCCTTAAATATCGGATAAACTGATAATCTTTATGAAAAAGAACGAAATTTGTATGATTTTTTTTCAATGGAAAGCAATTATACTTATCGTGCACAGTTATGGAATTTATGGGCGAATTTGATCCAATTTGATTCTGACTTTGATGATGTTTTGTTACACTTCTGTTGCGTATTCTTGTGTCACGAACGCTATACGCTTTTTTGTTTTCCATAATATAACAATCACAAGTCTAGTTCGAGTCTTCTAAAGATTGGTGCAACACGTTACTCTTTACATTTGAAACTTATCTTTTTATACTCATTTCTTGTAAATATACGATATTAGGCGAATTTGACCGAAATTTACTTATTCGTGTAACTTTACTAACTCGGTACAAGGGTTAAACGTAAATTGCGAAAATTGTTGTTGGTTTGTAACACTTCTGCTTTTTTCTGAATTTTTCGCGTATCAGATGCTGTTTCAATAACTTGTTTAACAGGCATTACATTTTCACCAGTTTCTCGAGTTTTTAATTTACCAAATTTTGTTATGCAATTTTACAGATTTCAGTATTTTTGTTACAAAAATCCTCCGAACTATTTAACAAGCGATCCCTGAAAATCGTTGACTCTAAAAAGATCGATAACTTCTTCTAAACTATTACGCATATTAGAACCAATGTTTTCCACAAATGTAGAGCACACCTGTGTATAAATTACTAAAAAAAAAAAAATGCAGTCTAATAGTAGAAAAAGTGTGAAAAGTTGACTCACTTTGACAGCAGTAACGTCCATCGAAGGATTCGCGAGCAGATTCTTCGTCAGCCTGCCGCTGTGCGTGTCGAAAACGGAAACCCTGCCCTTCACACCTCCGGCGATCGCTCTTCTGCAATCCTTCGCCAGACATATACTCTTCACGTCTCCTTGATGCCCTCTCAACGTGTGAATCTCAGTTCCTGTCGCCAGAGACCTCAGATACAGCTTTTGGTCCTTGCAGGCCACCAACAGGAACATAGAATCCGACGACACGTCGAGCATCGTCACCGCGGTAGGCAACACGATGCTTTTCAGCAACTCGAACTTCACGAGACACCATAAACAAACGGTGCGGTCTGACGAGCCAGAGACGAGGATTTCACCGGCAGAATCGACACAAATGGAGTTCACTGGACCCCTATGATGATCCACTTTGATGTGGACGTCGCCTGTTAAACTCGTCACGATGATCCTCGCGTCCTCACCTCCACTGGAAGAAAGGAAACGCTCGGTGTTAATTGGGGAGGTGTCGAGTTCGTGTCGTTTTCTTAGCTTTTGAAATTTTTCAAGGGGGTAACACTTTTGGTTTCTCAAAAGCTGAAAATTACATTTATAAAAATTGAAACTTTTCGTTTAGCAGTTATCAAAATTCCCAAATTTTTATCTATTTTCAGAAGCCTCAGGGCGACGTACCCCCTTGAACGAGAATTGAAATCGAAAAGTTCGGTGGTTTTCTTGGCTTTTGAAATTTTTTTCAAAAATTCTTTTCTTCTTTGGTTTTTTCAAGAGGAAAAACTACGTTTAATAAATACAGCGAAATAAGAAGAGATTGACTTTAATATTTCTTTGCTAGGAAGAGACATCTTCTTCGAAGATTATTTCTTCTTTTGAGAGAAAATTCGTCGACGTTACTCCAATTTTCACTTTCTAAGGAGAACATGAAGAACGTAGTTCAGGATTGAGAAAGTAAGGATATTTGTGCGTAGCCTAAGCTTGTATAAGATGAAACCATGAACCTGACAATCACAGAATTCTTGAGCGCAGACGTCAAGCACAGAACTGGGGCGATGTGTTCTTGAATTTTGAGCTTCAGGGTCAAGTTTTTCAGGTCCCAGACTATAATCGAAGTGTCCTTCGAGCCTGTCAGTAGATACTGAGAGTGTTGCATCACTGCTAAGCACGAGATTGGACTCGTGTGTCCTGAAATAGTTTCACGTTAAATATTACGATAAGAT